TGGCTGAGCGCGGTGGGGGTGCAACACCGAGGGTTGCGATCCCGTTGCCGGTCCCCAGTACAGGTGCGACACTGAGGGTTACGATCCCGTTACTGGTCAGTAAAAAAAGACAAAAAGGAAAAAAAAATAGCCCTTTCAGATAATTGTAGATATATTTTTTTAATATTATACCAAAACTTGACAACTGGTAGTTTCTAAATGTGAGTTCTAATGTGCAATCTGAAGCCATATCAGTGAATCTTTCAAACTCTGTTACATTAAAATCCATTGGTCTGTCTTGCACTTGGAATGACTGTATACCCATGCATGATTTTATAACATAACATATTGCATTGGTCATTTGGAAAATATTAGTTCACTGAGTTATACAGATCTTCCAAATGTTGACACATTTTAGTACACACTATCAAAAAACCACATTTATTAATCCTACAATCTATCTTATCAGAAATGTCTATAAGTATGGAGAAGCAGCTCTTCATACTTTAGCTCCTGATGGCAAAAACAGTTTCCAAAGTTCTGATTTTTGCCCAAAATTTAATCATCAGCAACAAATACCATCAATTGTTTTCTTTGAAATGACAGACTCACTTAATTCATTTTTGAAAAAATGTGTGCCAAATACACAAGTCTATGTAACCCTAGTTTTTCTGTCAGTTTTTCTTCCAAGTAAAAATGGTATTCATGGCAAAAGTGGCTTATTCATCTTGCAACTCAACAGTCACACTAATACCTTTTCTTGAGATAACCATGGTACTTTGTTATGTAGCAATCTTAACTGTATGTGGATTCCCCATTTTATCAGACAGAACATTAAAAAGGCATGTACTTCAAGGTGAGATTAATAAAATTATAATTATTACTGCTTCATCAGGGATACATTTTTAGTGTAACTGCCATATTTATTTACTGAGTGCATGTGTCATGGTAAAAAATACAATGATTGCTAGTAAAGTTTAGTGCTACTGTCCTGATTCTTACTAAGGTGCTAGCAGTTTTATGCACCATTTATTTTGCACCATCAGTGCAAATGTCAACACAGTAAAAAGACAAATGACATCTTATGAAAATAGTTTCACTTTGCAGACCCCCCGACAGGTCTTGGGGACTCCTGGGATCCAGTACATTTTGGGAACTTGTGCATTAGAACTTCTAGAACTACTTAATAATAGTGATGGTCTCTTGACTTACTTTCAGTGGAACTGTCTACTAAGTAAATACAAATCCCGAGGCTAAATTTAATTATTTCTTCATTTATAAATTTTAGACAATGATTCTGCAACTTTAGACCCAGATACAGAAATCACTACCAGGACCAATGGGAAAGGGAGCCCAGGTGAACATTCACCTAGTCCTGTCCAGTTAATAAACAGCGTGGGATCAGGGGACTCCAGTCGCTCAACTCTGCAGAGGTACTCTAATCTCATTCATATTTTCACTGCATTTTACCTTCATATTAATCTAGAGACCAATTTCAGTGATTTGATTACCTTAGAAACAGAACTGGCAGTAGTGAAGTTCCACATTTTAACTCCAGCCCTTCTACTTTCTCTTTATATAAATGCCACCTCCTGAACCTTTTTCACAACATTCTTACTGAGTTAATGTAAGAATATATTAATAGGAGAGTGTTAGTTTTCACTCCTCAGTTCCATTCTTGTCAGCCCCCTTATATATGTAAGTTTGTTACTAGGACTTAACTTTACAAGTACTACTTTTGATTCAGAGAGTATGATTTTTTTCCCTCCTTTTCTGTCTGCTGCAGCTTATAATTACCCTGTCTAGAGTCAGAAAAATAAAGTGTCACACATAGTGCTCTGATGTTGAATGAGTGCAAAGGAGAGTTGAAAGCAGCACTTGCTGTTCATTCTAAAACTGCATGTAGCTGGTCCTTCTTATTCCATGGATTTATATGGACTTTATTCCATGAAGCACTTTCTCACAATATAAACCATTAATTATAAGATAGTGCTGATTTTCAGCACATACCCATCCCTTCTACTGATAAAACAGTTCCACTAGAGAAAGAATTGCTATTATCAATGCCTCTATTAATATTATTTTTTATAGCTATTTTTGTAAAGGACTCTAAAATTGCATCCATGAAGAGACAGACCAACAGGATTTCCACTAAAGATGCAGTTTCATATCAAATAGATTTTCATCTCCTTTTGTTCAACAAAATATGCCTCTATATAGCATACAGTGTAGTGTTTATTGGATTTAAATGCAGAATTTGGTTTGCTGTGATGCTAAAGGAATTCTGCTACATACTAATCTGTGGTTCAGCCTGTTTCTTAATATTTCCTAGGAAAGTAACCATCTTCTTATTCCAATACAGATATTTCTCTACTGGCCATTTTGTTCATAACACCTAGCCTTCTTATTCCTTCGATTCATGTTTTCACCACATTTTCCCTGTAATATTAAGATGGCAAACAATTTTACTGATTTAATGACCTTAGAAACAGAACCGTGATTTTAATCCAGCTCTTTCTCTGTCTCATTATATGAATGCAACCAAATCTAAAAGCCTCTTCAACCTCAATATTGTAATCTATAAAATGGAAGTATGGATAACTATTGAAAGTATTAAGGTTCAATACTTATATTGGACGGGCCACTGTATATGAAATATATAAAACATTATTGTTACTCTATATTACATATAATATACATAGAAACACCTCTCATTTTTCCTGTAAACCTTATTCTTTCCCCTTTTGCTCTTCTTTTTTGCATTCCTCAAAATTCCATTGGATTAACTGTTCCCCTCTTTCCTTCCCTGAATGCTGCCCTTGTTGCTGGAGGCAGCATGTGACATACAGTTCCTAGCCCCTCAGCCATGTAATGACCTAACATGCATTGTCTGAAGGTAAGTATGGACACATGGGGTCCATCCTCTTTGGGGTCCAGTGTGATAGAATAGGAATCCATAGGATCCTGCATTCAGAGGCAGAACTGAGATACTATGTCCGTCTTCCTTTTTCTTTGAAGTGTCTTTTGAAAAACATTGAGCACTCATCTACTATTCTAAAGAAATGCATTTGACCTTTAAGCCTCCAACCCCTGACTGGTTTCTACTGACCTGTTTTTTCATTTGCAGTGTCATCAGTGGTGTTGGGGAACTGGATCTTGACAAAGTGCTAGTAAAGAAACCAGAGCCTAACGCCAAAGACAGACCTTATCCTGACTGCCCCTTCCTGCTGCTAGATGTGCGTGATAGAGATTCCTATCAGCAGTGCCACATTGTTGGAGGTAAGAGAGAAGGCTTTTAGTGCCTCAGTCCCAAGAACAGAGCCTGTTCTTTAGTCTGGGTGGGTTTTAACCATAGACCATGGCCCACAGTTAAAGAAACCATGTTTGCTGGATCTATTGTGGAAACCTATAGAGTTGTCTCCACCATGATGTTCTGAGAGAGGCTGCAGATTTTCTCAGATGGCTCAGCAGCCCAGCACTAAATGTTGGAAACAGTAAAGTAAAGCTTCAAACTTTGTTCATAGTGTCCTGTTTATTTTCATTCACAAAAGTATTTCAATTTATGGTTAGTTTATTTTGAAAATATATTTGACTCTTAGATTTTAAACCAGCTGGGAACTGGAGCCAAGATGTAACAAGAGAGCTACAAACTTCCTAAACTTTCTCTTCTCTTTGCAGCTTACAGTTACCCAATTGCAACTCTATCTAGAACAATGAACCCTTATTCAAATGATATTCTTGAATATGTATCCTTTGTTGCAATTTAAGGAGTTGGGTGGTATGAGGATTTTAAGAATTAAAGTTATCATGAATTATGTACCTGGTATGAAAACTAAAGGACCTTTGATATTAGTCAGCTTAGCATATTTTAGAATTTGGATTCCTAGCTGTTGTTGAGAATCCTGACTCTATTAAGGCAGATGCTTCCAAACTGTACTGCACTGGGCCAGAAAACATTAGGTTAAGAGGTATGATCCATTGAGAGTAAGCCCTGAGACTTTTTTTTTCCCCAGAAAGCTTTCCCAAGTAGAATTTAAGAAGTAAATCTTTTTCTATTTCAATTTTTTTTTCTTAAAATTTTAATTTTTTCATTTACAAAAATTATACAAGTAGGTAATTTAAATACTGAGAAATTTAAGAAAGAAAATTAAAATCTCCTGTAATTACACAATTGTGCAATAACTCCTGTCACATTATTGGTGTATTTCATTCCAGACTGTCTTCTATATGTTTTGTTTTGTTTTTTTCCTAGAGGCTGGCCAGTAAGGGGATTCGAACCCTTGACCTTAATATTATAACACCTCACTCTAACCAACTGAGCCTAACTGGCCAGCCCTGGTTTTTTGTTTGTTTGGTTTTTGGTTTTTTTGCAAAGTTAAAATTGTGTTGTACACGTAATTTTTTTTTAATTTTTATTATTTATTATTAGCATATTCATTCTTATAAATCATGATATTTCTTTATGCCCTTTACCTGACCTATCACTTCCCAAACCCCCTCCCTCTCTTCCCCCCCCCCATCTCTAGTATCCTTAGGTTTGTTCTCTTCTTCTGAAAGTTCAATGTATTGTTGGGTCTTGTCTTTGTTTCTTTCCTTCATTCATCCCTCTCTCCCTCCCTCCTTCCCTCCCTCCCTCTCTCCCTCTCTCTCTTCCTTCTTAGCAGCCAGTTATGAGTGAGAACATGATGTATTTCTCTTTCTTTGTCTGGCTTATTTCACTTAACATAATTTTCTCCAGACTCATCCCTGTTGCGTCAAATGACAGGATTTTGTTCTTTTTTATGGCTGAGTAGTAATTCGTTGTGTATATATACTACATTTTCCTTATCCAGTCATCTATTGATGGACACTTAGCTTGGTTCCGTATTTTGACTATCGTAAATAGAGCTGCGATGAACATGGGAGTCCAGGTATCCCTTTGACATGATGATTTCTATTCCTTTGGATATACACCCAGTAGTGGGATTGCTGGATCATATGGTAGTTCTATCTGTAGTTGTTTCAGGACCCTCCATACTGTTTTCCATAATGGCTGTGTTAATTTACAGTCCCACTAATAGTGTAGAAGAGTTCCCCTTTCCCTGCATCCTTGCCAGCATGTTACTCTTGGTCTTTCTAATAATGGCCAGTCTAACTGGGGTGAGATGATATCTCAGTGTGGTTTTGATTTGCATTTCTCTGACTAGTGATGCTGAGCATTTTTTCATGTACCTGTTGGCCATTTGTATGTCTTCCTTTGAAAAATGTCTATTCATCTCCTTTGCCCACTTTTTAATTTGATTATTTGTTTTTTTACTGTATAGTTATTTGCAAATTCTGGATATTAATCCCTTGTCAGATATATAGTTTGCAAGTATTTTCTCCCATTTCATAGGTTGTCTTTCCACTCTGTTGATTGTTTCCTTTGCTATGCAGAAGCTTTTTAGTTTAATATAATCCCATTTCCTTATTTTTTCTTTTGTTGCTTGTGCTTTGGGGGTCTCATTCATAAAGTGTTTGCCTAGTCCTACTTCCTGGAGTATTTCAAACCCTATGTTTTCCTTTAGTAATTTTATGGTTTCAGGTCTTGTATTTAAGTCTTTAATCAATTTTGAGTTGATTTTGGTATATGATGAGAAGTACAGGTCTAGTTTCATTTTTCTGCATATGGATGTCCAGTTTCCCCTGCACCATTTATTGAAGAGGCATTCTTTCCCCCAATGTATGTTCTTGCTGCCTTTGTCAAAAAGATCAGTTGGCTGTAAGTGTGTGGGTTGATTTCTGGGTTTTCTTTTCTGTTCCATTGATCCAAATGTCTGTTTTCACACCAGTATCATGCTATTTTGGTTACAATAGCTTTGTAATATAATTTGAAGTCAGTCCAGCTTTATTTTTTTTTTTTTTTGCTCAGGATTGCTTTGGCTATTCAGGGTCTTTTGTTGTTCCATATGAATGTTAGGATTGCTTTTTCTATTTCTGTGAAGCATGTCATTGGTATTTTGATGGGGATTGCATTGAATCTGTAGATTGCTTTGGGTAGAGTGGACATTTTCACAATGTTAATTCTTCCCATCCAAGAGCAAGGATCTTTCCATCTTTTTGTGTCCTGTTTAATTTCTTTCAGTAGTGTTTTGTAGTTCTCATTGTAGAGATCTTTAACCTCCTTGGTTAAATCGATACCTAGGTATTTTATTTTTTTGGTGACTATTGTAAATGGTCTTGCTTTCTTGATTTCATTTTCTGCTAGTTTGTTACTGGAGTATAAAAATGCTACTGATTTTTGGGTGTTGATATTGTATCCTGCAACATTACTGAAATTGTTAATCAGCTGTAAGAATTTTTTGTTAGTCTATAGGTTTTTCTATATATAAGATCATGTCATCTGCAAACAAGGACAGTTTGTGTTCTCTCCAATCTGGATACTCTTTATTTCCTTCTCTTGCCTGATTGCTATGGCTAGTACTTCCAATACTATGTTAAATAGGAGTGGTGAGAGTGGGCATCCTTGTCTTGTTCCTATTCTTAAGGGAAAAGCTTTCAGCTTTTGATATTGGCGATTGGTTTGTCATAAATGGCTTTTATTGTATTGAGATAATTTCCTTCTATACCTAATTTGCTGAGAGTCTTTATCATGAAGGGATGTTGAATTTTGTTAAATGCCTTTTCTGCATCAATTGAGATAATCATATGGTTTTTGTCCTTGGTTTTGTTGATGTGGTATATATTTATTGACTTGAATATATTGAACCAACCTTGCATCCCTGGGATGAATCCCACTTGATCATGGTGTATAATTCCACTCTAACCAACTGAGCCTAATTAGGCATCCCTGGTTTTTGTTTCTATTTTGTTTTGTTTTGTTTGCAAAGTTAAATCATACTGTACATGTAATTTAGTATCTTGTTCTTTTCCACTTTATACTACAGTGTATTTCCCCATGCTAACACACATTCTTTGTAAACTTAATTTTTGATGCTATGTAATATCTTATCTTCAGACTTAATGTAATTTACTAAACCATTCCTCTATTTTGGACTTTTAGGTAGTTCCTACTTTTTTACTATTAGACTATTATAAGGTTTCAGTGGACACATTGGACATAGAATTTTTTCTATTTCCTTGTCTGTAAAATGGAGATTGTAATATTTACTTTCCAGGATTGTCGGGATAAAAGGGCTGAAGGGTGTAATGTAACTAGTGCCTTCTTAGACCATGGTAATATTAATCTATAAAAGAAAAGAATACCAGCTTGTCTGGTTTCCATAGCAGGAAAAAAACCAGTAACTTCTCGTGTGATGGGTAAGAATGGAGTATCCCACATTCCCCAAAACTCAGAAAGGTGGACACTGACAACTTTTTGTTCCTTGGGGGTTTCTGATAGTCTAGGAGCATGGTTAGCTCAGTGCTGTCAAGCCTTAACTCATCTGACTCTTAGAAAAATGCCCATGGCAAGATCATCATTCTGTACGATGACGATGAGAGGCTGGCAAGCCAGGCAGCCACCACCATGTGCGAGCGGGGCTTTGAAAACCTCTTCATGCTTTCTGGAGGTGAGAAAGGCTATATTCTGTTGCTTAGGACTTTAAAGACACATACTTGGATTCACAGTCCTTCAATTCCCCTCCCCGCTTCCCATCACTTTTTTCCACTCAGTGTTCAGAATTTAGTGTTCTGGAAAGAGAAAAAACCATGCTGGCTGAAACAAGTCAAGAGTTAAGTGAAACTTCCATTAGTTCCATCAGCACATGTTTTTAATTCCTAAAGTAATGATGCTGCTTTAGTGCTCTGTAAGAAAGCCCTACTGCTGGAGGCTTGAGTAAAAGGATTTCTTGTGGAATGTTCACAATCCCACATAAACAACTGATATTTTCTGGTGTCATTTGCTTAATGGTAAAACAGTTAAGAAAGATTTCATGTCCTTGTGTTGGCTCAAGTGGGTGACCAAAGATTAGAAGACATGCAGTTTTATTTCCAGGTTTTTGTTTGGCTTCACCATGTTAATGCTGCTTTTTCTGATCTTCTAAAATAGGTCTAAAAGTCCTAGCTCAGAAATTCCCAGAAGGACTGATTATTGGTTCCCTGCCAGCATCTTGCCAGCAGGCTCTTCCTCTTGGTTCTGCCCGGAAACGATCCAGCCCCAAAGTACCACTCCTACCAGCTGAGAATAAATGGAGATTTACCCCAGAAGACTTAAAAAAGATAGAATATTATCTGCAAGAGGATCAAGGTCCTACAGACAATCCTAGTAAGATATTTTGACCTTTAAAGATATTGTTATCTGTGGAGCTTAAGATTTGCAGCTTTAAACATACCTTTGTCATCTTCGGCATATGAAAAGCTTCATATCTTATATTAAGATTTTTTAAATATTTGGGAGAGTACAGATACAGGGGGAGGGGGCGGTGATTCCAGATATGGTCAAGAATTAGGCATTGAGCACAGACATAGACAGAGAAGAGAGGTTATCAGTCAAAGTGTGTATATCTCAGGCATAGCTGAGAAGCTAAGCATAAGGCATTTAGATTCCTTCTTGAAAAGTTTTCACTTCCTTCTGCAGCTTTTGGGTATGTTTAAACCACTTCCAGGAGCCTTCATGGTTTGTCTTCTTACCTTACTTTTAGCACACTACTTTCTCTTCTCTTTTCTCTAATTGTTCCTTACCCTGCATTTCTCCCTACCAAAGAAGGAATGAAGGACAGACTAGGTTTGTCGGGGATAATGGAGAGGAAGGGAAAAAAAGCTATCTGGGTTTCCCTCTATCCCTGCCACATTCCCCACCTTCAAACTGATGTTAAAGTTAAGGTGTAGATCATCATTGGCCTAAAGTAGATGCTCCACAGGACTTCATTAGCTTAAAAGTAGTTGTAGACTAGGAATTCATTAGCTGAAAAGTGTACTTGGCGGTTTGTCCCTTGAATCATTTCTTGCAGCTCCCGCTTTCTTGCTCCCTTCAGGCCGGCTGAACCAAGCTAACTCTTCCGGAAGAGACTCCAAGGTGCCTGGTTCCCGCAGTGGACAGAACCAGCCCTCTAGGGGCCCTGCCAGCCACCCAAACCCCCGTTCACTCAGCAGTGGCCACCTGCAAGGCAAACCCTGGAAGTAAAGACTTTGTCTAGCTTAGTCAAATAAATGTTTTCCCTTCTTTCAGAACCCCTGAGCAGTTCCCAAGCTGGTCCTTTTCAGACACTGCTGCAGAAGAAAGACCACGAAACATGGGACAGACCCTCTCCCCTCTCCCTGTCTCCAACTCCTTTCCCCACAGCCACCTTGGGAAGGATTTTGACAAGTGACCGCAAAAACCAGAGGCGTGACAGGCTCTAGTGTCCTCCCTATCGTTTACAGAATATTTAAGTCTTTGAAACTGAATAGGAAAAAAGGACCTAACTTTTTTAGGCTTTTATTTTATTTGTTTTAATAAGGTCCAGCTTATTTGGTCTGTGTCCTGTATTGTTTTATAAATATTTCAGTCACATCTGCTGGTGTGTTCTTCCCAACCCATTTTTTCACTCACTGTTCTCGGTTTCCTAAAGGATCCTCCAGGTAGGCTCAGCGTGGGAAGCTGTCCCCAGGGGTGCAGCTGAGCCTTAGCCTGCAGTTGCCTGCAGGCCCCACGCAGGGTGCAGGCCCACTCGCTAAGGAGCTCTCTTACCAGCATATTGCAGGCTCTGGTGTGAGTTTGGAGGCCGGCCGGAAAGCATCTAGGCATCGCTCAATATGCAGATTAAGCAGAGTAGCTCTACTCTTCCTGAGTGCTCCCTTCCCTCATTAGATGTTTGCTTGGAGCAGAAAAGTGTGCATTCAGCTGTCTTCACACCAGCAGGCTGTTCTGTCACAGGAAAGCCCCAGCCATGTGCTAGGAGCCCCTTGAAGCCCAACAGAGCTGCCCCTCGCTTGTGGTCTGTATATCAGTCATAAATTTCTATTGCCAAGCTCGGGTCTATCCTTGTTAGATGAGCAGAAATTATGGCTACTTGAAAATATTAGCTTCGGTCAGGCAACTGGGAACACACAGGGTGAAGAGGACTCCAAAGTCCGTTGTTAGGGCTGACAACCCCTTAAGCTCTTGCTTAAAAATACAGTATTAGTCTAATTAAGTAATTAGTGTGATTTCCTGCTTACTTTTCATTCTTATGACTGAGCTGTGATAAAGAAGTTGTGATTATAGATTCTGGTTTTGGCCAGAATTTTGAATCAGCATTGATTGAATTGCTAGGTGACTGACATTCATTCCATTTAATTGGGAGAACAAAAGACCTCAGGTAAGGATGAGGAACTTTGAAATCATACAGAAAAGGAAAAGAGCCTTGTTGATTTTTATGGTCTGTGATGAAGCTGTGATAAGGGACTAAGGAATAAATCATGCTCTTTGTCATGGCAACCAGCTTCTGAAAAGCCAACTGAAAATTGCCTGTCCTTAGGTGGTTACTGCTGCTGGGTAAGATTTGCCTTAACGGTACTATTTTCTCACCACCAAAAAAGAAAAAAAGCACCACAGTATTTCTGTCATGGGGCTGTGTTTGTAAGAGAAATAAACGTAATAAATATTTCATAGAGACATATGGAAAAATAACTCTCAGATTCAGCCCAGTTCTGTTTTAGAGTGTGTTTATTCTTCTTTACTTGATTTCCAAAGCGCAACATTTTCCGATGCTTTAGAAATCAAACAAACCAGGGATATTGTTCATATGTCAAGCCGTGCCCAATTTTCCACAAGATTCAAGAACCTTGTATAAAATTCAGCCAACGTACACATAGCTTTAATGAGGAGCCTGTCATGTTTCCCCATAAATTTATTGCCTGAGAACTCAGTTCAGCCTTTTGCTAATGCCAGAATGCTCTGGCTTTTTATTTTCTTTACAGCATAGATAGAAAAATGCAAATTTTCCACACTCAGCTTTCCTCTAGCATGGACAAAATTTTCAGCCATTTTTGATGCATATACATTTTTAAGAAAAAGATATTTTTCTCTGTAACAAAGTTCTGATTAAGTTGACTAGTCAGAAATTTAGACTTCTCTACCCTTTGTTCTGATTTTGCATTCCCATCATCAAACAACATTAGAGTGTTAGAAACCAATTGCGTGTATGTGGAAAGTCAGTGTACCCAAACCTATTAGAATTGCCATGTGTTTATGTGAGAGATCTGACAGGTTGAATATATTTATGTGTATTTATCCATAGGCAAACCCTGTTAAGGCTTTAAAATAACTACTTCTCAGAAGATTTGTTTTGATTCTATACTTTGTGTGTTAAATATTACTATCAGACATTTTTTACATGCTTGAAATATTGTTTTTAACATTCTACTTTACTAGTTTCTTCGTTAGATTAAGTGACATGTATTATTTAAATGATCGGTGATACTTGTGCAATTATGAATGCTGAAGATTAAAATACATAGCTACTAATTGTCGTTTGCTATTAATATGCTGAAACTTGCCAACTTCTCTTTTCCTCTCCATGGAAATGGTTTGAGGGAGCCACAGGAGACTGGTGTGACTTGAGAGAGTACCTCTTTTTGCTGCGTCTCCCAGAAAGGCATACATTCTTTGTATAAATGAATCAGGAAATTATTCCTGTTAGGGCAGGGGAGCCTAACTGTCTTGTGAGAAGTCCTGGGTTTCTTTTCATGCTCAGGCAGGAACTGATGGCCACTTTATACAAATTGTGTCATGGCTCTCTTGTCAGTGACTAGCTGCCCTTGCCTGGAGACTTGTTTCTCCCAAGATGGAAGTTGCTTTATCCATGTACAGCTCCAGCTCCACCTGAACAACAGTGATGGCCAAAGTTTAAATAATATATTAAATGCTTTACAGGGGAATGTATTTAAGAACGAGAAGAGGGAAGGATGGAAGCAAGGAAAACAGAAGGAAGGGAGGGAGGGAGAGAGGAGGAAGTTGTATTACTCGTTTGAAAACAAAAGGAACATCCTGGGCTGTAATATCAGGTTCAATCTCTTGAAAAGTATAAAATGATTCAAATGTCCCAAAACTAATTTTACTTTTTACCTTTAGTAGAAAGCCAGACCAGCACAAGCATATTGGACTTGGTATAAATCAGAGTTAGAAGAAATAATGTTCATTAGTTGCTCGTGGATTTTTCCCGTGGTGCTATTTAGATTATACAAAAAAATTTTAAGACTTTAGGCTCCTCACCAAGAAAACAGAACAAAAAAAAAACCCTCTTTTCTCAGATTCCCTTGTGGAATATAAGTGAAATCAGAATTGTAGACTGGAAGAAATATGTAGGTAATTTTTCTTGTGTTGGTTTTGGTTTTTGTCATCTCGTTTATTGGTTACAGATTCTTTTATATTTTCTGACTTTTTTATGGAGCATAATTAATTTCTGTCCACCTAGATTTAAATCCTTGACTGCCTTCGTGCTCTACTCTGAATATAATCATTAAGAACCTTTCTTTCCCCAGTTCCAAAATGTTCTGTGTCTTCAATATGCATTTATTTTTTTTCACAATTCTTTCATAGATGTGAGTCCTGTAATACTTTTTTTTTCCCTGAGAAACATCAGAAACATGTGAATTATAATTCATCAGTTTAATTATGTGGGCATGTTGAATACTTACATGCAGTTCAATTAATTTTTTGATCAACAAATTTGTTTTCCATATAAAAGCAATAAATAAAACATGCTGTGCTTCCAAAGTGTTCAGAATACATTTGGGTAGTAACACTTTCCTAGCCTTATAGTAATTATTGAAATTACTATTCTGGCATTGGTACATAAGTCAGTTATAGCATGAAAAATGTAATGGTGGAAATTCGCCAGCCTTGAATTCTGACAGAACAGAATTAATGATTTTATGTTTGTTTTCAAAACTGTATTTGTCACACTGTGACCCCCTATGGTCTCACTCTCTGGTGCTGATCCTCTTTGTTCTGAATACAGAAGCAAATTATCTTCGCCTGTGTACTGTCCTGAGGCAGCTGGCTAAATGTGTGGTAAACAGAAGTCACTTATTAAATGCTGTTGACTGATGAACTACATTTTTTAAAGGATATCAATATGTCTTTCCTTTAAAATTATTTTGACTGTAAGCTCCCAGAGGGTGAAAATCCCAACTCTGTGACAGTGGCCCTTCATAAGTGCTTGTGAATAAGCAAATTGAACCTGTCAGGATTGAGGTCTGCATATGCCCATTGTGATGGCCACTCACAGCTGGTCTGCCCTTCTGGAGACCCAGAAGCCTCGTCATCTTTTGTCCCCTGTGCATCTTGCTTTTGTGGGAGGGGCATTCACCACCCTGCGGGTTTTAGGTCACCCTCTGCAGGAGGTACTCAGAGAGCTGGTAGGGGCATTGTTAAAACCCTGGCTGTCTGTTTTCACAGTCCCCTTAGGCTTGAAGGAGCCTTCAGAATTCATCAAATATGGGTTGCGTACCATCCTCATCTGAGAATGGGTTATTTTTCCCTTGTTTCAAATCAATAGTGGTGAACATTTATGGAGAGCTTACTATGTGTTAGGATGTGTTCCTAGATTCTTCATTGTGTGTTGACTCATTTAATTCTCATAAAAGTCCTATGAGGTATGCACCCACATTTTCGGATGAGGAAACTGAGGTTCAGGCCCTGAGTCACTGAGCTAGATGGTTGAGAAGCCAGGATCCAGCTGAGAACTGTGGCTCCAGACATGTTCTTTTAGCCACTCTGCTCTGCACTTCCTACTCTGGGTAGGCATAGTCATGTTCTCCCTTGGCAATACCTCTAAACTACCAACAAAAATGTCACTTTCCCTTAGCTGTTGTCTTCCCTTCCCTCCTGGTCACCTGAGAGTCCACTGAAAGCTTTTCTCATCCTGCCTGCACAAAAGGCAGTGTAAGTTCAGGAACTGAAACATTTGTTCTCAGGAATATGTTATTTCCACATTGCCGCTGTGTCTGGTGTCCTATCTTAAAGACAGGTGCTCCAGGGTTTCTGAGGTTTGCTTTGTTTGTTAATGGACACCTCATGAGTTACCACTTAAGGAATGAGAGTTATAGACTTCTGTTTAGATTGTAGGGGGAAAAATAGTCTGTTTTTCTGATAGGTTGAACTACTCATTCAATAAACCATATTGGTATGATTTGTGTCTGATCCCTTTTTGTGCATGAGTGGTGATGTTTCTGATTTAGGCTGAAACATAAATTGCATGAATTGGCTGATGGCCACAGGCCTGGTTTCGTGGAAGAAACAGAGGCAAACCTCTTTGCCTCCGTCCATGTCAGCAAAACCCTCGCTCCACTGCACTTTTCTAAGAATGTAGCTGACACCACTACTGTGGTTAAGCAGAAGACTCTTAAAATTAAAAATAATTTTCCCCTCTTAGTTTGGCAAGTAAACATTTGGCAATCTCAGTCTCTGGGGTTGTTAGATGATGCTCACAGTTTGAGTTGCCAAATTAATGCGGATCCTGAAAGCCTTGGGGAAGAATTCATTACCCTTTGACAGTTTTTCAGATTTGATGGGAGCTCTGTGCCTTTCTCAGAGCTCTTTTTTGATCTGGCCAGTTTGAATGTTATGGTTGGTCATATCAGTTTCCTCTAAGTAGCATCTGGATCTTAGTGTGTTCACAGAATGATGTTTCCGTAGTCCTTAGAGCAAGAGCCCCTGTGCATCTTCAAATCCACCTAGTCCCACTTGCCCTTGCAAAACAATTGCTGAGATGGTGAATAGAGGGACGAGTGAGGTCATATCTGGATTGTATTCACAGATATTTCCATTTTAACTTTAGGGCAAAGCCAGAAAGCTAGACATGCATATCTGAGTGTTAATTCAAGAGACTACCTGAATTCTCATGGACCACCAATGGCCCACAGACCACATTGAGAACCATATGTAATGGTCTAAGAAAAAAGCAAAATGAGTTTATTTAAAAATAAAGGTCTTTGAAAGGCCCTGGAGAATCGGCATTAGTATAATGAATTCCCAGCATTGCTATGGGAACCAAATGTGAGCAGAAAGAGCTCTCGGGAATTTTCATCTGAGCTACAGCAGAGAGCTCAGAGAATGGCCCCAACTGGCGGATCAGAAGAATCCCTTTCCTCAGTAGTGACACTGCTGCTTCCAGCTCTATCTGGAGTGCATATTTTTCTGAAGATAAGACAAACTGCAGTGTTCTGGGCAAGATGATGAAATATGATGCCAGAACAGAAAAAAAAATGAGTTTAGACAAATTATAAAAAAGAATCTGAGCAAAAACTAACATAGCTATTTAGATGTTTGATGTTGATAAGTTGATATTAGGTAACGACACACAGGTTGTCTGGTGTGGTTGAAATAGCTCCCCTTCCCCCATTATAAAAGCTGATTATAAAAGCTCATTGTGGTGGTGTTACAATACCAAGGTCAAGGGAGCCACAAAAATAAATAAATAAAAGCTCATTGCAAGAAATTTTGGAAAGTATAAAGAGGAAAACTATCACCACTACCAAGGGTAGCCACTATTATTGGGCGATATAACCTTCCAGCATTGTGTGTGTGTGTGTGTGTGTGTTTTAAACGACAACAAAAAAAATGGGATCATACTCAACATATTATTTTGTAATCAGTTTCTTTTTTTAAAAAAGAACTATTGAAGTGTAAATCACGTATCAAATTTACCCATTTTAAGTGTACAATTAAACTACGTTTAGTAAATTTACACAAGTGTGCAATTAGCGCCACAATCCAGTTCTAGAACATTCCCATCTTGTAGTCAGCTTCTTTCACTTAGTATGTGAACATTTTTTCATGTCAACACAGCCCTTAATGGTTTTATGATATTCCAATACATAGCAGTGTCATCAGTATCGATACTGATGATTATTTAGGTTCTTTTCCTTTATATTTATTTTTTTACTACTCCAATCTTGTACATAAATATTTTTGAACTAGTCCAAATATTCTTCCATGTGGATCTTCTAGGTTAAAGAAGCAATACATTTAAATTTTTGATTTATACGGCCAAATTTGCCCTCTGGAAAGGTGGTGCAAATTTATCCTCCCACCAGCAGTATATGGCAGTGCTTATTTCTTCACACCCTTGATAACACTGAGTTGTCAGTTCTTTTATTCCTTGCCAATCTGATGAGAGAATAGTAATATCTTTGTTTTTCTTTAATGTACAAGAAATCACTCAGAAGGTCAGTATCTTTCAGATATTGATTGGCTTTTTGTGTTCCTTCTGGGAATAACTTTTTTTTTAATTGTTAGTCTCCTTCTTTAACTCCTTTTACTTTAATCCCTCAAGATTATTAATACTTATTTTCATATAAGTTGCAATATTTTCTAAAATTATTGTCTGTTAGCTGTTTTTACTTAAACAAATTTTTTTACCCATAGATTTGTAAAATAATGTATCTGAAAATGTAAAGCTTTCACACACTTGAAAATATAAAAAAGAAAGTTATTAACAACTTCCACATCTCCATTTAACAAGCATTTATTATTACTGATATGAATATTGTTCTTACTATGTGCCATGCATTTGGTCAAGCAGTGGGGATCGAGTGGTGAACAAAACCATGCAATCCCTGCCTTCGTGGAATTTGCATTCTGCTTCATTCCTTGACTTTTCAGCTTTCTTAAGACTTCCTTGCTCAGAGTCTTACTTTCTAAACTACAACTCTGGGAATTCAAAATAACTTGCACAGGGGTATTTTCAGCACACCCACAGTATACGGATTATAAAATTTATGAATTCATTAATAAAAGTAGAGAACATTCACTCAACAAGTATTTATTAGGCATCTGTACATCAAGTACTGTTGATGGTATTGGGGACTGAATGCTAGAAAAGGTGGTCCAAGCTATCAGGGAGCACTGTTTTGTTTTGTGTTTTAATTAAGCAATTCCACCACGAAGGTCTAGGTAATCCAGTTTTGTAAAATGATACATTGTCATGCCAACTTAATATTTTTCCTTATCAATCTTTATTAAACAAAAGATAAGATGATCAGCTTTTTACTTGCCCAAACTAAGTGGTTTAATGGCTTTCAGCTTATCTACACTCTTGTTACATAGATTGAAGGGAAATGTTTTCCAAAAGATAACTTGAAGAGAGTGTTATCAAATCTTTAAGTCATCTTTCTGTAAAGACAGAAATACCATGTTGCCTTGTCTCATAAACATGCATATGTATAAGTTTATGTATACTATGTGTATAGTCAGCCTCATTCTTTTTCTTTTTTAGAATGTTTGGGAGCAAAACCAAAATAAAACCCCAAGATGAAAATTCCCTCCTATATCTTAAAAAAAAAAAGGAAAGCATTTTGACCTTCAGGCCATTTTGTGTGGAAAAGACAAGACTCAAGTCAGGGGAGCTGGATGCATCTGTAAATCTGACCTGGCTGATACAGGGAGAAGCTGCATTCTCACCCTAGCCCCCCAAGTCACCCCACCCACTTCCCTAGTGACTTCTGTGACAGTAACCCCCGTTCCACATTCATATCTTACGAGATGTGGGAGAAACAGAAGGGAGATTCTTGCTTTGGAAAGAGCTGGGATATCCTAGGTATCGTGGTGCTAGCCACTAAGGATGATCTCACAAGCATCAGGATCACCAAGCCAAAGGAGGGAAGCCAAATTCTAGGAGCCATGGAGAGTGTCAACAGAATGGGAAGGAGGGGCATGGGTGGGCAGAGAAGAGGGAGCAGAGACAATGTTCCATAGATGCTGGGAAGGGTGTGACAAATGAGAAGCGAGCTCCTTCTGTCCCTAAAGGCAAAGACTTCATGACATGCTACAATTAATAAAATGTCCTGGGATTGGCATTAGTTCTGTATCTTCAGCAAACGATTTCATTTAATCCAATTGTTTTCTTCCTCTTTAATTCAGGCGCGGGAGACCATACTTTGCTTTATAGTAATCTATTTTACTTGGCTGCAACATCTATTTCGGACAGCAGTAGCCACCAGGATTATTATATTTCATACTCCAAGTCATTGCTTTCATAGATAATGGTACAACTAGCTAGACTATTGTACAAGCTGAATTCCTCGCTGCTACGGGGTGCCAGGCATTTGGTTAGCAGCTGTGACTGCTCGTTGCTACTAAGATATGAACAAATCACCCCACTGACAAGCTGAGCTCAGGGTGGTCTAATTAGAACGGGCGCCACTTGGATACAACTTCACAGGACCTTGGAATGCAGGAGAATTTAGGGGTCATCTAGTCCAACCACCCACACATTTCCAGCTAGGCCTGCAGGAGCTAAATCACTTCTGCCCCAGCTTGAAAAGGCAGACGCGCCACATGCGTTGGACACGTAAGCCCCGAGACTCTATTCTTATGCACTCAAACTTTATTTGGTTACCTGGAACGGGCGCCACTTGGATACAACTTCACAGGACCTTGGAATGCAGGAGAATTTAGGGGTCAACTAGTCCAACCACCCACACATTTCCAGCTAGGCCTGCAGGAGCTAAATCACTTCTGCCCCAGCTTGAAAAGGCAGACGTGCCACATGCGTTCGACACGTAAGCCCCGAGACTCTATTCTTATGCACTCAAACTTTATTTGGTTACCCAGGTGGGGCCAGAGAGAAGGAAGAGGAGGGTGCCAAAGGACCAGTTCAGTAGGGGTTATTCA